TTTATAGTTTTAATGTCTTTGTAAGCTGCCCAGAGTCCCCTATTGTGGGGGAGATGGGCGGATACATGAGACAATGAACAACATGTTTAAAGGAATAAAGTTTACAAAAGAAGAAGAAAGCAGTACACTACCCTTCCTGGATATCAGCAGCAGCAGAGGAAACAATGGCAAATTAGAGACCCACATTTATTGAAAAACAACTCACATTAGTCCTTCACTATCAAAACAACAACCCAACCACCCACAAGGGGAGCTGCATAAGAGCTTTATTCAGACAACCACAAACTCACTGCAGTAACCCAGAATACCAAAAAGGGGAAACAGATAATCTATAAAACATCTTCCAACACAACAGATACCCAGCAACTTCTTCAAAAAGTGCCTAACTACATTGCCCAACTATTACAGCCTACAAAAAGGATAATGCTCCCAAATATCAAAAACATCTGAGACAATGAACAGACTACTACAACTACTCAGCATCACTGTATCACACTAAGCAACAAAATTCCTCCAAAATATCTTAACCAAACCATAAGACCCAACAGCCAAAATAACAGTCATCTGCAACACAGAAAGTAAGGATTTTAACAGCCACTATGTAGGGCAGACAAAAGACTAGCAGACTGCATCTATGAACATCAACTGGCAGTCAGAAGACGTGACGCCATGGACAGACTCAACTACAGTTTCAACTGGGAAACTGTTAACATTATAGATCAAGCCAAATCAAAAAATGCTAGGGAATTCCTGGAAGCTTGGCACTCGCCCAAATGAGCCATCAAAAGACACGCAGACACAAACCCCATTTACATATCATTTAAAAAACACAATCAAAAGCCTAGAAGGGAAACAATTAGCCTAGAACACATCTTCTCCAGCAGCCAACATCCAGATATAGAAAACAGCACCAAATAAACTATCAGGGAGGAAACAATACTCTGATCAAGGAACCACTGAGGAGGAAGCCATATCCCTACCAAGACTGGCAAGGCAAGCTACTACCTATAAACAACAAATCCTACTTTTCTTCAGACTGATGTTACCTAACCTGGTAGTAAACCATCTGCAAGAAAACACCAAGCTCAGAGAACCAAGAACCCACAGTTCAAAATGCAGCTCCATATATTCTCTTGTATTGGCATTTTATAAATTCAATTAAATATTTCTCTGCTTCTTTAGAAATGTTTTAAATAAAAATCTAGTTACACCTTCTCCTGTCTGTTTGTCATTAAACAAGAACTATTCCACAAAATTTTATCTAGACAAAATTACAGCAAAAAGAAGAATCATAACTGTAAAGGCCTGTGTAAATTACATTCAGTTTAATTTAGAAGACAACATTTGTGCATTTATAAGTGGCATAAAACTGCCCTTCTAGTGAGAATAAAGTTAACTGCATTCATTCACACACAGAGAGTTCTCAACTTGCAACCACAATTGGGAGTGGAATTTCCATTGTTAAGCAATGCGGTTGTAAAGCAAGATGTCATGTGACCACATTGCTTAGTGACTGCAATCTTGGCACTTCCCATTGCCGTTGTTAAGCGAATTCCACCGGCCATTAGCCAAGGATCCACCCCAATCCAAGCCATTCTGGGCTTGGTTTCTCCCAGCCTTGAGCCTCAGTAAGGTAAGGGACTGCACTCCAACTCCCTTCTCCCTGATCTCTGCCCTTTTGGCTGCCCTGCATCCTGCCTTGCAGGGTGACAAGCAGCCCCTGAGCCACAGTACAGCATGAAGCTGCAGACACCCCAGGAAGCTGCAGCTGCCCCAGCCTGGCCACCCCAAGCCACCACAGGAAGCATTCATTCACCCAGCTTTTTCTCCCAGTTCCCTGCGCTGACCTTTCTCCTTTTGCGCTCAACCCTTGCGGCAGAAGCAGAAGCACCTTGCTGTTTTTGCTGTCTCCTTTTCGGACCCAGAACCTCTGGTGAACTTTTCCTACATGTGGCTCCCTGAGCCTTCGGAAAGTTAAGCTGCCTTTCTGAAGACTCTCCGAAGTCAGCGCAGCTTTATAAGGTCAGCGCGGTTCTGGGGCTGCTTGCCACTCCACAAGGCAAGGTGCAGGGCGGCGAAAAGGGCAGAGATGAGGGGGGAGATAGGTGGGTGGGGGGAGTTGAAGCACCCCTGCGGTCCTAAGTGCAGGTGGGCTGCCGAGCACCAGAATTTTGATCATGTGACCATGGGAGCACTGCAACGGTTGTAACTTCAGGCACAGGTCAGCGCCATTTTAACTTTGAATAGTTGCTGAACGAATGGTCGTAAGTCAAGGACTACCTGTAACATCTATTTTGGCCCACATCTTGTTCTGCATTATATTTCATTTACCTGTTTGGATGCCTAGTTGGCTGCTTCGAGAAGAGGAAGTTATGAAATCTGGATCCCAGATAGGAGAACTTTGACTGTACACCTCTTCCTCCAACATGGACAGGAACCTTAACACAGAAGTCAAAGCAATATTAACATATAGAAGTAATCTACCAAGAGAACTATGTCTTGTTCTATTACAAATATCACTGCAGAAAGATAAAGCTGAAAATATTCTATAACGTAACATGGTATAGTCAAAATAGCTTATTTTTTTTTAATGATTAAAACATGAAAACCATGAAAGAATACAGTACTGATTTGAAATTATTCTCTGAAGTACTTTAATGTATTAAAAAAGTCGAGTTATTTTATTAGTTTTGCTATTTTTTTCCTTTTTTGGGGGGAAGATCGCTATTTTTGTTTTCCCCATGTTAGCAACATGTAGCAATTCATGGTGGGTTATTTGGAGTATTTTTTATGAATTATCTACGCTGATAATGATGATTCCAAAGTTGTGGGCATTCTAGGATCCAAACGCTAGACTGAAATTACATAACTGCTACATATAAAAAGTGGATAGACCAGCCTTACTACTTTTACTTGTTGTAAGCTGCCCTGAATAATGTCTATTACAGCTTGAAAATGTCAGGAATCATCTTAAACAACGTATCTGGGATATTGATTTTTAAATCAGTTTAAGCCTATTATCCAACCCTAGAGTTATAGATTCTTCTCAAATGGGTGTGTGCCACCATCTTCTCTCTCTTCAATTCTAATTCTGAAATTTTGTCAGGTTTTCACCTTGGCTAGGCTGGATGCTCTACCCTCTGCAGTTAGGTGGGGTTTCCTTTTCAGCAGTGCTCATCTCTATGCGGAGATGGTTCTGTGGAATCCCTAAGCCAAATACTCCTTTGCTGCTCTCTCTAGAGGGAATCAAGGAAGATATATATCTATCCCATTTTAAAGAAGCAGCCTGGTAGAGAGGACAATGTCTGTCACTGTTTTTATCTGACCAGGACCCTGACATATCTTTCCAGGTTGCCCGATTTTGTGCTATCATTTGTTGTATCCGTCCTACCTACGGTTGAAGTTTAGGACAAACGTTGGTGATTGCCACTGCTATTTGTCCTCCAGTTACTATAATAATGCACTTTATGTAATGTTATTGAATTTTTTTTAAGGCTTAAGTTTTATTAATAATTACCGGTCTATGTATTTTATTGTTGTGCTTTCTGGCCCATAGACCATAATAAAGATTTGATTTGAGTAATGCAGAGACTTTAAAAGGAAGAGATAAATATGTTATGTATGTGTATGTGTGTATATATGTGTGTGTGTGCATGTATATACATATACATACAGTATTATATGTGAATATATTCTCCCCACCAAGTCCTGCTGTCCTGCCTCATCATGGTAGGCGGGTGCTCCAACCTTGAACTGGTATGCTAAAAGACACCAATGGACAGATAGTAACCAATTCAAAGAAGATCAAACAAAGATGGAAGGAGTATAAGGAACAGATGCTGTGATGTGTCTATCTAGAAAGGTAGATCAGAATCTAGAAAGATCAGAATAGTGCAAGCAATGGTATTCCCTGTGACACTATGGAAGCAAATGTTCAACTTTGAAGAAGCAGGACAGAAAGAGTATTGATGCTTTTGAAATTTGGTGTTGGAGAAAACTCCTAAGAATAACATGGACAGGCAAGAAAACAAACGAATAGATAGATCATCAAACAAATCAAGTCAGAGTTCTCACTTGAGGCACAAATGACCAGGCTCAAATTATCCTACTTATCTTGCAAAGACCTAGCTCTCTAGAGAAGGCTCTAATGCTGAGCAAGGCAGAAGGAAAGCAGCAGCAAATGAGTAGCAGCAAGGTGAATGAGCTCACAGTGGTGATAGGTACCCCACTGGAGGACCTGAAACACCAGGTCAGGGACAGATCATCATGGAGAAAATCTATCTATGCTAAGAGTTGACACTGATTTGATGGCACATAATCAATCAATCAATCAATCAATCAATCAATCAATCAATGTGAATATATATTATCAGCCCAAACCAATCCACTGTGGGATGAAGGTGTCTTTATTGAAGGTTATGAGCACAATTACACTATAATGTTACATTTTCAGTGCATTCATATGTGACAGATGAAAGGGACTGCCTTTGGAACCATAAGGTTTTTTTGCACCTGACCAATCCCCATGCTTAGAAATTTTTATAAGCAACTACTGATTAGGTGGTGGTGGCCTAAGGGGCCAATGACCTGGGGAATATGGTTACTCTTCTCAGAGATGAATGGAAGTTGAGGCTATATATTTGTGGTGCAGACATCCAGAGGATCAGTAGATGGCAGCAAAGCAGTCCTAGTGGAAGTTCAATAAACCATTAGATTTTGCTTTTCAGCACAGTATTTGTCTGAGTTTTAAGGATATTTGTTTTCTTCAAAGACATTATTAAACAACTTAATAACTTAGGGCAAATCTCTAAGTTGTATTTTATTGCTTAAGTATTTGCTTAGAGTTTCATGAATTTTAGTTTGGGACAAAGGAGGTAGAGAAATAAATTACAACTACAAATTTCATAGCCAAAATTACTAAACAGTTCAACATTATTGTTTCATACAGAAGTATTTTAAAAGATATCCATGCATTTTTCCTCTACAGGAATGCAACAAGATGGCTAAGACATATTAAGCTACATCAAACAATCCAGAGTAAATCCCCAGAGGAATGATACCAGCAAAGAAATGGCAAAATCTGGAAGAATTATAATACTTCAGGAACCAGAAAGAAAACCACTTTTGCAAATAAACAAACAAACCATAAACTGAAGCTTATCCTGAAACCTTTGTTTTTGGTTTTCTAATCTTAACAAGCTCTGAAAACAAATATTAGCTGATATCGCAGGCCACAACAAGTAACAAAACCATTTTGGAGACTGGCTGAGCTTCCTCTGACATACCAAAATGGTGCCAATTACTTTTCCAACGTTTTAAAGTGATATTTAAAACTTCCAACTTTTTAAAGCGATATTGCACCTTGACACTTTAAGGCATGCCTGTTTCCTTCCTTCCTTGGTGTCTGTTGAAGACTCTGCTTTGAAAAATAAGAACCCACCCAGAATTCTAAATGGCAGTTCCACCAACAAAGCCAGCCACTTTAGTTAAAGCAGCCCCAGAATAACAACATTAATTGCTGCAAGAATAAATATTAAAAATGTGTAATGGATCAATTACATCCATTGTATATGTTATATACATATATACATATACATACATATATACATATATATTTTATAGGCATATTTATTTTTCTTCTTATATTGAGCTGATGCCTCCCACTCAAAAGCTCCCATTTAGCTGGAATGATATGTATATTAGCTATGTATATTATTCTGGGAATTAAACCCACTAAACATGATGCAACCTACTTTTGAGCAACACAACTATGACATTTCATTGTAAGACTGCAATCCTACACACAAGGAAGTGATCTACTGATTTGATTCTAATTATGCATTATGCATGCTTTATATTTTAAGGCTGATAGTGCTAAAGCTACTGTCCTTGAAAGAAGATCCAATGAACTCAATTGGTCAGTTTTAAATAAACCTATATAGGATGGTGCTAATTTTTTTGCATATATCCAGAAAATGGCCATTGTGTCAAAGATTGTTGTTCCAGGATATCAACTTTCTTATTGCACCCTGAACATTCTTGCTAAGAGACATAGCTCAAGAAAAAAGACAAATATGAACAAACCAAATTTGAACAACGTTTGACATACAAAGCTATTGTTCCAAGGAAGAGGTATTAGATTCCTTAATATTGCATGAGTCATGTGACTAACTGCCTGATGAAACTAACCATTTAGCACAGTCATTAACCATGTGGCTCAGCCTTACTCCAACCTCATGCCTTCCAAAAGTGTTGGTTCTGCCATGCTAGTTGGGAATTCTGGGAACTGCAGCCCATAGAAGCTGGAGTTCAACAAATCTGAAGGACAGGAGGATGGTGTTGGCTAGCCAGAGCAATTTGTTATGGGCCTGTCTGATGAGTCAGACTCTGAATTGAAAGAGCAAAGGCTTGAGAGGTTCTGACTTTGCAACTCAGGAGCTGGTAGGCTCTCAGATATCTAGAGACAAAGCTAAGGAGCAGAACCTGTTAGAAGATGAATCTGTAAATCTTAGACATCAGTTGCAAAAACACAGAGATAAGTCAGCTGATTTAGGGGTCAATTTGAGCAGAAAAAGATCCTAAGCCCTTATATATACAGAAAGATCAAGTGAGTAAAACAGATGTTCAGTAAGGTTCCTTTTAAAGAGGTGACACAGGAAAACAGGCTCATCCAAGTCAATGCTATAAAAAAAGGGCTTAGGAATCAAATTTGTGTTGGCAAACAACTTTCCAATCTTGAATATGACTTTTTGAATGTGCTGTTTCTGTTCTTTGGATTGGTACAAGACTACTCTCAACTTTGAATCTTGGGCTTGTCTGCATGGAACTTCTGCCTCTGAAGTAATCTTGTTTGTTTTTCCTGAACTCTTAACATTTCTGCACTGTGGTAAGATTTACAGCTGCCATAAAGAACTCTGATCCAAGTATGACCTCCTGTACTTGTAATTGCTGGCACAGGACTGATTGTTTGCCAACCCCACATAAAAAGTCCCTCAACTCTAACCAACATTATGGAGCAGTTGCTAACTAAAAATGAGTAACTGAAAACTCAACTGGCACAACTGCCAATACAGATGGCAATACCATTTCCTAAATATCCTGTCTCAGCACCTGAGAAATTTGAAGGCTCCTGCTTTGGGGAACTGAATGTGACCCCTTGTCCTGCAGATTTCTATACAGACCAGTTTAAAGTCAGGTTCATATCAACTTGTTTTCAGGCTCAGCTGCTAAATGGGCTACTCCCTTCATAGTGAGTTTATCAAGCATTTCATGTTCATGTTTGAAGATCCCACTAAATCCACCATAGCAAGCATTCACATTAGAGAACTATGGCTAGAAGGCTGATCAGTGGCTGAATATGTGATTGACTCAGGTTCTTGCCACAAGAACTAGAGTAGAATGAGGCTGCTCAGATGGACCCAGTTCCAGGAGGGGCTCG